AGAAAAGGTGCTGGTGGGAAGCGGTGTCCTGCTGTGGAGAGGAGTTGGAGACCACCCCTGCCCAGGGCTGAATCCTTCCTCCCTGGCAGGCTGTACTGTGCTCCTTGCAAAGATGGATTATGCCAAGTCCCTGAGCCTGCGCCTGGCTGCCCCCGTCTCCAAGTAAGTGCTGGGGAGCCACTGTCCCCGGGGTGGGGGACACCAGAGCCCTCCATGCTCTGGTACCTCTCGGCCCCCTGAGTGGATGTGCTGCTTGCCACTGCGACCTGGGGGGCTGGCACTGCCTGGGACTGGCGGAGGGTCTCAGGACACCCCGATCCCTCTATCCCTCCTCAGATGTGTCTCAGCAAGTGCCTCCATGACCCAGCAGCTCCTGTCAAGCCCAGCCCCGCGGCCCCGACCCTTCCGTGTCTGCAACTGGGACCGGAGCCTGCGCAAGGGCATCATGGCACACAGCCTCACTGACCTGCTGCACCAGGTGAGCTGGGGGCTGTCTGTCTGTCTGCCCATGGACTGTCCATCCACCCAGGTGGGTGGTGGGCTGGTCTCCCCCACTCACTCCCAGCACCCTCGCAGGCTCAGAGCGCCGTGCTTGCCCCGAGTCCTGTCTTGCTGGTGCTGGATGAGGATGGAACTGTGGTGGAGACAGAGGCTTTCTTCCGGACGCTGGAGGAGGGCACAGTGCTGATGGCCCTGAGCAAGGGGCAGACCTGGACTGCCTCCAAGGTGGGAGCACCCCTGGGTGGCGGGAGCCTGGTTTGTCCCATCTGCATCCCACGCTGGGATCAGCAGGGAGATGGTGCTGGGCTGGGGGGTCCCCAGGGTGCTGGGTGAGGTGGGACCAGGAGGGTGGGTAACCCTGGTCCTGCTCTCCCCTAGACGCCCGGCTACCAGCTGAGCCTGTCCCGCAAGCCCCCTCGGAGGATTGATGTTGCCTGCGTCACCTTTGACCTCTACAAGACCAACCCGCGGGACCTGGGCTGCCTCAACGTCAAAGCAACACTCTACGGCACCTACAGCATGTCCTACGACCTGCGCTGCTATGGAGCCAAGCGCCTGATGAAGTGAGTGGTGGGGGGGACTGGAGATGGCTCCAGGAGAGGAGATGCTGCAGTGGGGACCGGCCCCACTGCTCATAACCCTCTGTGAGGTGCAAGGAGGGATGCTCACCCCTTTTCCTCTCTGCCCAGGGAAGCCCTGCGCTGGACCCTCTTCACCATGCAGGCCACCGGCCACGTCCTGCTCGGCACCTCCTGCTACATGCAGCAGCTCCTGGATGCCACGGAGGAGCCGAAGGAGGCCGAGAGCAGCCCAGCACTGCAGAGCCTCCTGCCCCGCAGCCTCCCGCCCTTGCCTCGCAGGAAGACGCTGCAGTGAGGGTCGGGTGCCCTGTTCCCCCTCCTTTGTCCCCCCCCCCTCCCAATCCCTGGGGGGGGTCCCAGCACCCTGCTAGGTCAATGCTTGGGGGGGAGGCTGCCACGGTGCCGTGGCACAGCCCCTCCTTGCACTCTGCTGGCTGAGCACGGCCAGCTCTCCTCTGTAATATCTACTACTCTGTAAATATATTTATTTATAGTAAAGCTCTGCTGACTTCACCTGTGTCTCATCTCACTTTTGCTGGGGGGGGGGTTGAAGGGGGGAAACACGACTCGGCCACTTGCCCCACTTGGCATGCTGGGGGGTGGTGCAAGAGTATGCAAGGAGGGGACCTGTCGCAAGCGGTTCCCTCAGGG